GTTCCTTGTGAACAAGATGTACACAGAGTGCTTATTACGGAAATAATATACTTTAAACATGTGAACTGAATGTAATGTTTTGCAGTTAAATCTAAATGCATTATAGTTGAAATGTATATTGAATGCGATTAGCTGAACTTAAGAGTGTTTCTGACCCACTTAAGTAAGACCTATTTATATGTAATTTACACAATTACTCTATTGTCTATTACTACTGTCTTGGTTAAATATAGGGTTAAATTACTGCATGAATGTACTGGCACGTACTCTATTGAGACTTGCATAATGTATTTAAATATATTTGCAATTACGCACTTTTACACATCATTACTGCATGGAAATGTCCTGTTGTTCTGCTTCCTGTAAGTTTCTTGATATTAATAAGCATTTTTTCCAAGTAATCTATAAGCAGGAGGACACATGGAGGCCAAAACAAAGAGCATAAGATACAAGGGAAATGAAGAGACACAAAGTCCAAGCTACTGACAGTTTCACCTCCTGTAAACAGAGCTATCAGGAAAACCACAGCAGCGTCTCGCTCTCAGGAAGCCACTGATACGCCTGTTTCTTCATCTACGGAGCAAACAGATGAAGTCGAAGCACATCTCGCTCGTTTCCTGATGAGCATGTGTGCTTAAGAACAAATGTCCCTTTGACTCTCACTGAGCACAGAAAGCATGAGAGTAGTGTTGTGTTTTAGGACGAACACACTGTCTTTAGTTTACTTTACTCGTCTTCAGGACTTACAAATATTACGAGAGATTCTTAAGAGAAAGGCTAAGTTCAACGGACTCCTTTAATGCATGTCTATCCACCTTATTTGTCCCGTAGGAGTGGACGCGGCCATTTGTAAGTGTACTGTGTCTGGCTTCCGGTGTCATCCGCTTGCAGCTATTTTTAGCTGCTTTGCTGCTTGATATTGCAAGTGTGTCTTACCATATTTCAATGTTACTTGCTAATCATGTTCGCAACATGCTAATCATGCTAGAAACATGCTAACAACTGGCTAATCGTGCTAGCAACATGCTAATTACTTGCTAATCATGTTAACAAACTGCTAGTAACATGCTAATCATGCTAGAAACATGCTAGCAACTAGCTAATAATGCTAACAGCATGCTAATCGTGCTAGCAACATGCTAGCAATGTGCGAATCATGCTAGTAACATGCTAGTAACTTGCTAATCATGCTAGTTACTTGCTAATAATGCTAGCAACATGCTAATCATGCTAGCAAAATGCTAGTAACATGCTAATCATGCTAGCAACATGCTAGTAGCTTGTTAATCATGCTAGAAAAATGCTAGTAACTTGGTAATCACGCTAATCAATCTAGCAACATGCTGATTACTTGCTAATCATGTTAACAAACTGCTAGTAACATGTTAATCATGCTAGAAACATGCTAGCAACTAGCTAATAATGCTAACAACATGCTAGCAACATGCTAGCAATGTGCGAATCATGCTAGTAACTTGCTAATCATGCTAGTTACTTGCTAATAATGCTAGCAACATGCTAATCATGCTAGCAAAATGCTAGTAACATGCTAATCATGCTAGCAACATGCTAGTAGCTTGTTAATCATGCTAGAAAAATGCTAGTAACTTGGTAATCATGCTAATCAATCTAGCAACATGCTGATTACTTGCTAATCATGTTAACAAACTGCTAGTAACATGTTAATCATGCTAGAAACATGCTAGCAACTAGCTAATAATGTTAACAACATGCTAATCATGCTAGCAAAATGCTAGTAACATGCTAATCATGCTAGCAACATGCTAGTAGCTTGTTAATCATGCTAGAAAAATGCTAGTAACTTGGTAATCATGCTAATCAATCTAGCAACATGCTGATTACTTGCTAATCATGTTAACAAACTGCTAGTAACATGTTAATCATGCTAGAAACATGCTAGCAACTAGCTAATAATGTTAACAACATGCTAATCATGCTAGCAAAATGCTAGCAATGTTCGAATCATGTTAGAAACATGCTAGCAAAATGCTAGTAACTTGGTAATCATGCTAGCAACATGCTAGTTACTTGTTAATCATGCTAGCAACATGCTAGTAGAATGCTAATCATGCTAGTCACTTGCTAATGATGCTAACAACATGCTAGTTATTTGCTAATCATGCAAGCAAAATGCTAGTCACTTGTTAATAATGCTAACAAGAGGGTAGTAACTTGCTAATCATGCTAACAATATGCTAGTTACTTGCTAATCATGCTAGTAAAATGCTAATCATGCCAACAATATGCTAGTAACAGGTTAATCATGCTAAAAACATGCTATCAACATCTATCTAACTTTTCAAACTTCAGGCTTTTACAACTGCTTTAAACTGCTTTTTCTCAAGCCAACCTAACTTTTTTTATCTAGTTGCAATTAACATGCAATTCAGCGTCTGAAAACATTAAACATGCTAGTCACTTGCTAATGATGCTAACAACATGCTAGTTATTTGCTAATCATGCTAGCAAAATGCTAGTCACTTGTTAATAATGCTAACAAGAGGGTAGTAACTTGCTAATCATGCTAACAATATGCTAGTTACTTGCTAATCATGCTAGTAAAATGCTAATCATGCCAACAATATGCTAGTAACAGGCTAATCATGCTAAAAACATGCTAGAAACATGCTATCAACATCTATCTAACTTTTCAAACTTCAGGCTTTTACAACTGCTTTAAACTTTCGGGCTAGGCTTTCTCAAGCCAACCTAACTTTTTTTATCTAGTTGCAATTAACATGCAATTCAGCGTCTGAAAACATTACATTCAGTTTGCACTTAATTATATTCTTTTAAAATAATATTTTTTCCATAACAAGTACACTTTTTAAAACAATGCTAAAGTGCACTCTTCACAAGCACACCTCTCCTCATCAAGCCGCACAAAACATGATATAAACAGATAGTTTTATCTACCTTGAAGTTGGAAAACACATGCTTTCCTATACACAACATCACATTTAGATTACAGGGACATCAACATATAAAGCGAGGCATCTATATAGAGGAAGCTGTCACTGTGATTTCAATCGAACACGCACAGGAATAAATATGTAATGCGATAACATGGAAAGCACTAGAGGACTGATGTGTGTGTGTGTGTGTGTGTGTGTGTGTTTGTACAGGAGCTCTGACCTCTTTAGCTCTGTGATGAGAAGAGCGGTGCATGGGATGCCCAGCGCCATGAGAGAGATTGAGTTTATCGCTGGCTTGATGAAGGCCAGACAGGTGGTGATCCCTGACAGGACGCCGATGACCATTTGAAACCTCGATCTAGTGACATGGGAAGGAAACAGGGGTAGACGAAAGGAGTAAACAAGAGAAAAGTAGTGCAGAATGTTGGGCATCTTCAAGTACACTTTGATCTGAATGTGTTTGCGTGAAGATATGCGAGCGCACCTGTCTCTGCGGAATATCTTGGGCAGGTATCTCTTGGGAAACCACATGCCGATGGCACACATGAGCACCCACAGTATAGCCAGCTCATCCAGCATCTGCCCCAGGAAGCTCAGCGTCGCATGGAAATAAGTAGAGCCGATACCTTAAGAAGAACGGCAGGATCATGTGGCAATTACACACAGCAATTTACATTGTTTTAGCCCTGCATCCAAGCCGAATCGTTCACATCAGCACTGCGATGCATCATAAAAACGATTACATACGCGACGCTGTGTTCTTTTACACAAGAGCAGCTCACGATCCAGTGTTTTCAGTTTCTCGGAGAGACCCGATTCCCAATAAATGCTGCTCCACACAAACTGCTGAGCTTCGGTTGCGTTAACGTGCATTTGGGAACGTAACATGCGACAACCATCTTGGAATGAGAAGTGCTTATCAACAAAAGAGAAGCTTTATGGGCTGCATCAAAATAAATGTCTGATGTTTTTTTTAATGTTTGAAAATTAAGATAGTAAGGGGTCAAAGTATACTTCGGTTTTTAAGCGTTTAGTGCACATGACGCAAAATTCGTCACCAGAATAGTACGCGCGTACTAGGGCTGTGCAAAAAATCGAATACGATTTTCATGCGCATCTCGTCAGTAAAGCCGCTTCTGTGATTAGTAGTTAATCTCCAGCACGTGCTTTCAGATGGAGCGGCATTTACTACACAGAGCCGTAGTTCACTGACAAGCTACGCAAAATCGCGTTCAAAATCGGCAATGAATCGCCTGCAATTTTGAACGTGATTTTGTGTAGCTTGTCAGTTATCTACGGCTCTGTGTAGTAAATGCCACTCCATCTGAAAGCGCGTGCTGCTACTATACACGCACCACCCGATTTTTGTAACCAAAGCCACTGGAACCTTTAGCCAAAAAAAAAGCAACCTTTGGGAGCGACGTTTGTGCTGAGCTGGCAACTTTCCCATGCTGCTCCACAGTGAGCTTTAAATACACCACCGGTTTGTTGGGTAGAAGTCACACTTCTGCACAGACCAGTTTCCCAAACGACTGTCTTAACCTCAGCTGTTAAAGGAGGGAGAAGGTAAGTAAAGGAAGGCAAGTAAAAAGGAAGAAGCTTAATAAAAGCGCAGCACTGGTGAAGGCGACACCAGTGCGAGAACGGCAGCTTCAGTAAACCTAAAACGGAGACGGACATACAGCTGCATTGTTTGAACTATGTTAAGCTCTGCTTGTGAATGCACTTGGGTCATGTGAATATTAACACATCTTATGGATGATGACTAAGTGAAATGTGGTCCGTGTGGTTGTGTTGGCCGGTCACTCCCTTGTTTGCGGTTACAGAAACGGGTGTGATTTCTCAGAACACCTCTATACCTGTGAAACCTGTCAGGTAAAGGCGATATCTTATGCATGGTATTCTAAAATAAGTAAATAAATTGTACAGAAAAAAAGTAGAGAAAAATATAAAATGTAGAAATGAATACAGTTGACACCTTTATTGAATACATTAATAAAATACTATAAAAAGTAAAAATGTGTGTGTGTGTATATATATATATATATATATATATATATATATATATATATACACACACACACACACATATATTTATTTATGCATTTATCAGACGCTTTTATCCAAAGCGACTTACAGTGCATTCAGGCTATACATTTTTTACCAGTATGTATATATATATATATATATGGATTATACGTATATTTAGGGATATTTTATGCATGATATTCCAAAATAAATACATAAATTGTATGGAAAAAAGAAAAAAAAAACATAAGAAAGAAAAACGAAAGCAGAGAAATCTATAAAAAGAAGAAATAAATGATTTATATAATAAAATAAATAAAAACAAAGAAAATAATTACAATTATATATTTGATATATTAAGACTATACAGCTTACAGCTTAAAAAAATAAATAATTTAAAATAAATAAATAAATAAAAAATATATATATGCGTGTGTGTGTGTATATAAAGCCTATACAGTTTACAACTTTAATTGAATAAAATTATAATATGTTATTATATATTATAATATATGATTAATATTATAAAATCAGAAAGTATAAATAAATTATATATTAGCTATATTTAATATATGAAACCTATACAGCTTACAACTTTAATAGAATAAAAATCTAAAATATGAACACAAATATATATGTTGTAATAGCAGAATGGCTCTGATTACAGGCTTCACATATTAATGTATTTTCTCTGAGATAAGGTATTTCCTTCAGTAGCCCTTCCTTCCTATTTCCTGATGACCAGCAATATTCCCGAAAAGGAGGAAGAGTGGGTTTCACAAAACTGCGACCTCCTAACCATGCGTGCTGAAAAACAAGACCTTGCGCAAGAAGTTACTGTCGGTCAGTCTAACAGCTGGCAAGAATAAGCGAAGAAACCTACCGACGACCACCAGCAGAGCCCATATCAGATAGATGCCGCTGTTGAAGTGCGTGGCGTACTGACGAAACAGACACATGAGGATCGGAGGCAAGACGAAGAACAGCACGTTGCTTATCTGAAACGAGACAGGACGCTGGTGAGCGCATGCAAAGCAGTCCTAAAGTTGACAGACTTCAGCTAGCAGCAGCTCATCGTGAGTGCCACCACAACTAAACACACAGACAGCAGAGAAGAGGGACGCACGGTGTTATAGAACTCCGCGATTCCGGGATAGATGAGATAATTGCCTTCACACCAGTCCACCTCCGAGCTGCCCGCCTGCAGCTGAGCCCACAGATGCGCGTCCATCGCTGCGCTTTAACGCACGCATGCGAAGACAGTTTGTTGTAATCAGTGGCGCGTGTGTAGTCTTGTTATGTGAGCATGTCATCCTGCTGCCATCCAGCTCTCCTGTGCCGCTCTCTGCCCTTCTCTGACTGTACAATAACAACACAGCAACATGTGATCCGCGCATGCGCAGACCTGCGCTCGGATCAGCAAACAGGACAGGTTAGTTTGGTTCATATTTACAGTCACATCTCACTAGTTGCCCAGGTACATGCGTGGTCTACAAGAGGATTCATGATATTATATATACATTTACTAGGGTTAAAAGTAAATTTAACGATTAAAAAAAAACTTTAATTCCTCTTACACTGTAAAAAATTCTGGGTTAAATATGGACAAACCCAGCAATTGGGTTGTTTTGACCCAGAGGTTGGGTTAAATGTTTAACCCTACCTTCTGGGTAGTAACCCAAGGGCTGGGTCAAAACAACCCAATAGCTGGGTTTGTCCCTTTTTAACCCAGCATTTTTTTTAGAGTGCAATATTTAGCTATATGCTCAGATATATTGATATATTTTATTTTATTTGAAAATCTCCTGTGTCAAAACATTAATATTTTAGAAACACAAATATTTATATGCAATAGCCTATGCTGATATTTTATGTCAAGGGCCATTAGGGGTCCACAGTCCCCTAATAAAAAAAAGTGAAAGTGAAAAAAAGTGGCGTGACATGTGGCCAAGTATGGTGACCATACTGGGAATTAGTGCTCTGCATTTAACCCATCCTTAGTGCACACACACAGCATTGAACACACACCCGGAGCAGTGGGCAGCCATTTATGCTGCGCCGCCCGGGGAGCAGTTGGGGGTTCGGTGCCTTGCTCAAGGGCAAACTTTTCTAAATAATAAAACAAACATGTCAGGATGATAGCTTACTGGATTTCAGTTGTGTTCAAATTCTGGATCTATAGATCTATACAAAT